AACCCTGTTTTAAAGCAAAGGAATTATTAAAATCTTAAAGCCTGCAGACAACATAGAAAAAGCATATTGTGACGTGCTACCTGAAAGCCGGACTATATGACGTCTATCACTAGTCAACGGCTAGCAATTCCTAAGCACCGAAGCCTAGGAAATCGTTGCCCTGGAAATGAAAGTGTAACAGTGGGTTTTCCATAGTTACAAACGAATGGTTTGAAGCAGACACGTATTTCCGCGTTCGTTGCGTAGCAGCAGGCGAAATTAACCCGTTGACAAGGTATTTCCTGTTCAGTCCGAGGGCAAGTTATAACAGTCCAACGTCGGCCAGAGACCCGTAGAGTTCAAATCCGACTAGAGCAGAAGGACGTTCGTATCCGATAAGGGACCAAGGAGAGTTGAGCTCCGAGCAGAGCAGAAGACACTTCACAAAGATCAGCTGAGCAAGTAACTGTAATAGTGAAGAGGAAACGTCTGACGACGTTATAAGTTGATAATAATTGTAAGTGTGAGTGTAAAAATGACCATCCAACAAAGGCATTCGCCAAATCCGAGAACCCGCACAAGTTTCCTGTCGCGTTGCCTAGCAAACACGCGAAAATATGTAGAAATGACACTGCCGAGGACCCACGCGTTAATGACCCGCATTACTTCAGTATGTCAGAATGCAGTTAATACCAATTTGACAAGATTTCATCAGCTGCTTAACATTTTGCAGACGATCGTCGAAAGTTTCACCACCGCGGCCACAGAACTGGTTTAGAATCCACGGAGAAACTAAGCCCATACTCTCTGGTAATTTCATAAAAATAGTGAATGAAGGGATAGTGCACTTAATTGGCCACGACTAATTGATATTCGATCAGAAGTGTTGTTTCATAGGCTATTTGATTAGCCTGCAATATTGCATTCACGAAAAAAATATGAGCAAATTATACTATGGGGATGCTCGCCCTTACTCCGTTCTAAATATTTTGCCTTGTCGCATGTTTTCTAAAAGCGATACGAAGGTAACTTATTAAAAAAGTTTGTTCTTTTGTACAAACGTGAAACTTTGCATCTCACAATAAGGAAGCGCGTATGGAGGTCTATGAAAACTGGACGCTGAAGAGAGTCTTTGAACATGGAGGGGGGGGGCAGAAAGTGACAGGAAAATGGAAGGCACTAAATGGTAAAAGCTAAATTTGTCTGTATGCCTAATTAAGCATTATGTCATGAAGACGCATGGTGAGTGGATGCATAGCTTCACCTTTCTTGACCTCAGCACTGAGGAGGAGGAGAGTTGTCAGCTTCACGTCCCTGCCGCTTTACCCCTCTGTATTCATTATATAGGAAGCTAAGTGGGCGTCAGAGCCGGTCTGCTCGTTACAGGGAGGTGAAAGAAAACATCTTAGCTCTACCGGGAATAGAACCCCGGCCATCTAGCTTGTAGCCGGTCGCTATACCGACTGAGGCATCTCGGCTCCTGGATGGGAAGTTTCATAATTTTCTTCTCCCCAGACAGTATTAAAATGACGACAGAAGTAGTCCAGACATTCTGAGTGCATGGAAGGTATAAGATGTGAAATCTGAAGAGACAAGACCACCTGGGAGACGACGAAGATGGACATGACGGCGCGAACTGGATTCATCTGGCTTAGGAGAGAGAAAGGGGCGGGATCTTGTGGACACGACAGTGAATCTTCGGGTTCCATAAAAGGGAGGGAATTTTCCGAGTCTCTGAGAAACTGTTAGATCCTCAAGATGCACTTCTGCGCAGTGGAGTTAGCAACAGCAGAGTTCTTGCTTCTACGAATGAGGTGGGTGGCTCATAAACCTTCTACGGTGAATTGAAAAGGATAGGAAAGGAAGCGGTTGTGACATGCCTGATACATATAAACTACTGTTCAGAAATTCGCATCAAAAATCAACGAAAGTTATGATCCAATCACCAATATTCCCGCCAGCATCAAAACAGGTCTCGCGAATGGAAGTCAATTGCGTTTCAAATATACTGCATAACGCATCTCTTTCAGTTCGCCTGTCAATCGATTTTACGCAATGTTTGAAGGTATCGCAGTACCGATAAATAACTTCCTATACACGCATAACGGTCTCGCAAACGCAAAGCTTTCTTATCTTGCTGGTTAGCCTACTACTTAATCCATGTTTCCACGCATATTTACAACATGTTTCGGCCAAATGGAGCCATCATAAGGTATATATATTGTGGTATATTTGCTTAAGGCAAGAACTGTGAAGCCAGAAAAAAAATCCGTGTGGAGGCGGGGTCGTAATACCTCCACCGTGACCCTGCGGGTCGTAGGAGGCGACGAAAAGGGACCCGAGAAAGATTGCGCTGGCAAGGACCAGCAGCATATACAAAAGACAGACCCGTCCTCTCGTCAGAGAGGGCGCCCCACAGAAACAAGACCTTAACTGTCAAACGGTCATAATTAATATCTGGTCATGAGCCTGACTGGCTGACTGACCGTCAGTTGCTATGTGACTTTGACTTTTGAGAAGTCAGAAGAGACAGCCGTTGCTAGGAAACGGCTCTGCAAACACTCCCGTTGCTAGGTAACAGCTTTATAACACGCAACAATAGAGTAGCTGGCAACGGTGTTCTCTAAGAGGTCCGTGCCGTTACCTACGTGATGCGATAATAGAATAATTGGCTGGAAAGTTGTTTTCTGTACGGTCCGTATTCAGGCTACAGTAGTTCCAACTCTGGAGCTGGAGCTGCAGCTGGAAGGTGCCAGCCAGCAAGGACAAATGCCGTTGGACATGGAAACCAAGAACGCTATACCGTTGCAAGCCGCTACCAAGCAACGGTGGTAACCGTGACGGAGAACATTACTCTGTGTGCGTGATATAGTGATGTGTAGTGTGTAATCAGGAGTTTTGTGTTTAAAAGTTCAATAAATCCGATTACCAATCCAAACCTCGTCTACACTCACTTTTATCACGTGATATCGTATAAATTCCTACACGGAGGCACGCGGTAGCATAGTTTGTTGAGGCACTATTATACACACGGGAAGGTTGCGAATTCGAGGTCCTATGAGGTGGATATTTTTCCATTGACCTAATTCTCCCAGCTGCAGTATGGACCTGGGGTCGAGAAATGAGTACCAGGAATGTTCCTGGGAAGTAAAGGGCGACCGACGCGTAAGGCTGATAACCTTACCGCCAACTATGAACCGACGGTGTAAAGAAAATGTGGGAGCCTCGACGTCTCACAACCTTATGGGCCTTCATGGCCTGTTACAGGGATGACTTTACCCTTACGTTTTACAAATTGCTACACTGAACCCAACAGCATGCAAGACCGTAATTCTAAAGGTTTTACTTAAACCAAGTTGGATTGTTGTTAAAATAATTTTAAAGTGATATTTTGTTCTCCTATATTCACTTTTCTCGTGTTCTGTCTCTGTTGTGGGTGTTACTGGTTTTGCACACGGATTAGGTAGTATTCTAACCAACAAGCCACGGAAGTGTGTATTTACAGTACTGTGCTGTACATGCATAACGAGCGCTCATCTGTGTAACTGGGTACAGCACAATATTACCGCTAACTCACTTGAACATATACACAGGTTCTTAGGCGAAAATCATGATTCCTAATGGCAAACGTAAAGTTCAGTTGGTTTCCTATGTACATATAAAATGGCACTAATGCCTGCTCGTGGCCTTGAATATTCCGAAACCCATGCAGCTTCGCGGAAACAGTTTATCACAACCACGAGCACAAACACGTCAATGAACTTTAGGGTTCCAGGAAAGCGTAGAAATTCTAAACTAGCCTAACTACGTAATTCGTCGCAAATTAATATGTAAAATTCTATCATAAGAAAAGCACATCAGAAATATTATGAAACCATGTTAGATTTGAATTTCCCACAAAAGTAACTATACCTTGGGATGTGGAGCCATATAATCTGGTAGCATTCTTTCCCATCTTCAGGGTCGCCTAACAAAATGACTCAGAATTGGGCTTGCTTATTATATTACTTGACGTATTCTTCTACTCTGAAGATCGAGGCAATGAGTTCCTCTGAAACCCCAGTGAAGTTCTACAAGATTGTATGGCGTCACATCTCAGAAGATGGCGATGTCAATCATGAAAATAAGTTCTGAGAAAAAAACCCTCAATAGAAACCTCTTAGGCTAGCTGTCAATAAAGAAAACAGTTCCGAAAACAAAGAAAACATCCAAAATTTGCCCTTAACTGTTTGTAACATGATGCTTACTACATGTAAAACCTGTCTGAACAGCACACAACTGTGCATTCTGCCCAAGGAGTGCATTTTAGGATTTCGCATGATTCTTACAGCAAACAGTGAGTGAAGAGTTCTGTCTTATTAGATAAAACGCCGTGTATAAGGTAAAGTTGTACCTGTGCTTAACTAACGGGGAAGTGAATGTATAGGTCCACATATTCTTGACTCTGGCACTAGTCGGAGGTAAGTGATCAGATTCACGGTTCATTCGCTTTAACCTCGCGTATGGATCCCTGGTACCCATTAAATAGTAGGCTGGGTGGGCCCCAGAAACATCTGTACGACGTGGAAAGGAGGAAAATCTTGCCCCTACTGGGACTCGAACTCCAACCTCTCGGTCATCAGTATAACGCCGTGTAGTCATTTTAAAGTTAACCTATGTCTCGGAGACTACATATTCCTCCGAAACGTATGTTGAATTTTGAAAGACTACACGGCATTATATCATAGAAAGGTATGGCTCTTCGTAACCACAGTTGTGAGAACCACAGACCCTACATAAATATGGGTCATTTTCCCAAACGTTACCCACAGTTTGATCATTGTAATAGAGACAACATGATTCCTCTGAGGTAGGAACTTACAATACGTTTCAGTAACATTTAGATTGATTCCGGAGTTTCGGAAAGTTAACATGTTACTGAACGCGAACCACAATGATGTTAAATCCTCAAGAACTGGATCCAGCCGTGTGTCAGCGAGTTAGTCCTACTAACCAATTGAGTTTTATCTCCAGGCACTTACCTCTCTGTTGACGTCGGCGATGTAGTTCGACTCAGCTGCTTACTTCTAACGTCACAAGCCGTCTAACAGGAGTTGACGGCCACAGTCAACAACCACCATGCTTGCCCGACAACAGTGTCTCCACCTGGTGCCACGATACCGAAGCTTCTGTTGATTACCGATGGGTAGCAAAGACACAATTACTGCAGAAGGCAAGTGCCGTAGCGCATGAAGTGTACCGGAATTGGTTTCTTCTTAATTATTATACAACTCTGTATCCAGGACCGAATTTACAGTCGTTTGGTTCCCGGGCAGTCAACATGTGGACGCCCCTATCAGTTAACAACAAATTGAGGTTATGACGACGCCTTTTCTTGTTCTTGTTTCTTATATGAACTAACAATACAAATTAACTTTATGGATTAAGGGGAAAAATGTCTCAGTAAAATTCGTGGATTCTGTTCCTGTTCTGGGGACGCCCCGGGGAGACAGCCCTGATCGCTGTCCCTTAAATCAGGCCCTTGGCTCTGTCAGCTACTTACGCCTGTGCTATGTAACAGCGAATGAGATTTGAGACCGCTGTGGCTCATGATAAGGCAACGGACTGCTACAAAGTTATAGTAACATACTTTAAATTCAATTTCTTTATTAGAGTCCGTCACAACACAATATAAAGGTCAATGCTAAAATTAGCTTGGCTACATGTTTCGGCTTTTAAAGCCATCATCAGGCAAACACATGACTACCATATTCACACACTACCGAACTGCAACTGCGATGGTAAAGCTGGATATTTGATAATACGTTTTAAAAATATGGCATAAAAGTACAATGAACTATAAATTAAAACGAAAGTTATGACATAAAATAAGGTTAAAACACTTCATGTGATATTGTATATCATCAAGTCAGTTTGTTTCAATTTTGTTATATTCCCGCGGACATACAGCAGTATATTCAGACTTGTATACATGTAATACACTGCTTGGAGGCCCGTGGTATAGATATATAGCTCTGACATTAATCTGGAAATGATGTGAGAATAATTATATTGAGTTTAGTGTAATTAACTATTGATTATGTTATCTATGATAGAGTTGTATTGTTTACTTACTGTTAAGCCGGCGCCTCATCTTACAATGTATTTTGTCCGTTGTGTAGGGACTTCAAATTATTCTCCTTCTGTTTGTTTACCGACGTTCTCAGTAGATCGAACCACAGACAGTTAATTGTTTCAGTGATTATGGTTTGGAATAAAGGTGGAGGGAAGTGGTCGTGGCGTAATTCAAGGCATCAATCCGGAATTTGATTTGAGGATTGGTACTATGAAAAATCTCAGTTAAGAAAATTCGTGCCCCGTGTGAGATTCGAAGTGATCACCTCCCGAATACAATTCAGAAGCAGTCAATTATTTGGTTACTGTCTTTCAGTTTATCTGCACGGAGAATGTGGAAAATGGTGAACATCGGCCAGGGTAACCAGTTCCTCACTGACATTCAAACCTTACTCCTCACAAATACAAGGGAGCTACCTTAAAATAAGTTGTTCTTCCAGGGACACGACCAGGGACTTCTCCAAGAGAGATGTTGTTTCCGAGCGAATGCTAACTCAGGTTTAAGTCTTCGAAGAATATATTTCGCGTATCGGCCTAGAGTAGTCAGGGAAGAAAAATATATTCTAAAATATTATTTTATGTCATTAATGCTTGACGTATTTCCATTCTTTTTTCATCATTCTTTATCCAAGAGGGGTAGATACATGGCTTGCCCCCACCTCCTGTCGACAGAAAACAACGCAGTACCGTACTATTTAACTATACAGTGTTGGGCCCTTCTTGGAAACTTGCCAGTTTCTCAGCCGCTATGGAATGCAAACGTTCATTACCGTATTAACAAGACTTCCCACTGATACCTATATCCTGAGCTAGAAAAATCCGATTTTACCACTCCATCCTATAACTATTTTAATATTATCCTCCCACCTATGTTTAGTTCTTCTTACTGGTCTCTTTCCTTCTGGTTCTTCCACCAAAACCTTGTATGCATTACTCTTCTCCGCCGGCCACGGTAGCCGAGCATGCACTGTCTTCGCTCGCTCGGAAGCCTGGATCATGGGTTCGAATCCCACACAAAGCATGATGTTTGGTGTGTGTATGCATTTATTCCGTGTCTGTGTTGTCCTGTGTTTAGGTAGAGGTCTTGCGACGAGCTGATCACCCGTCCAAGGTGTCCTACCCTCTGTAAAATGATCATGAAACTGAGAAATCAGCCCTGTGCTCCAAAGTAGGGAGCAAGAGAGGGGTAAAAAATCCTCTTCTCCACATTCGTGCTACATTCCTAGTCATTCTCATCCTCCCTAACTTGATCATGTAATTTTATCTGGCGTGAACGCCTCTGTGGTCTAGTGGTCAGAATCACTGGCTACAAATCCACAGGTCAAGGTTCGATTCCCGGCTTTACCAGATTTTCTGAGAAGTAGTGGGTCTGGAACGGGTTCCACTCAGCCTCGTGACGATAACCCAGGAGCTATTTCAAGGAAATAGCGGCTCCGGTCTAGGAAGCCGAAATTAATGGCCGTGGAGATTTGTTGCGCTGACCACGTGACATCCTCTATCCGCGAAAGTTGGCACTAACTTCGCCGAGAAGCGAGAACCACAGAGTTTGTTTTTTTCGTTTGAACAGTATACGTTATGAAGCTCATTAATTAATCTTCTCCGGGCTCTTTTTATTTCATTAGTCTTGGGACCAGACTTTCATATACGATCGTCTGAGTTTGAGTTCTTTCAACTGAGGCCACTTCGAAGCAAACAGCGAAGCAATGAAACTTGACTGATGGACTGATTAACTGTCTGAGTACTTGTGGCCAGTTCCAAATGCACGCATGCGCTCTGTAAGCTACAATTTTGGGACTCCCAGTTTGAGAAGTTTCTTCATAATGAGAGAGTCACGGACGATACATAAACCACATTCTATTGCAAAGCTCGGGAGGCAGCAAATGGTTCATTGCGTCTCATCAGATTGTAATGACGGAAACAACACAGACATCGAGGGCAACTGAAAATAAAATGAACGGTGACGTCATCATTGCTCACGTAGTTCTTGCAACTGTTTCTGTTTGTTTTCAACAAAAATGTTAGTCAACCTTTGCGTATTTGAGTAATTTCGAATACACGAACATACTGTTACCAAAACTTGTCGACGTGTAAATTAATATTTCTTACTAATTTAATTAACATTTTTTTAAATTGTGGCAGTCGTGCAAAACAATATTTTATAGACGTTTTATCAAATTATCTTGTCGTGATAAAGTCTGCTTCACGCAATTATTCAAATTAGACTCTACACACTGGCTTTGTGACATGAGCAGACTCCAGAGGCCAGAGAGGCGGAGCGTTCTGCATGTGGCGGTACCATTAGCAGAAAAGCAGGTAGGCGAATGTTTCCAGTTGTGAAAGAGTGAAATCATGCTGATGTAATGCAATCTACAGTGACGTCACCACAGCACGCGAACAAGTCATAATTATGGACTTAAATCACAACAAAGAATAGCATATACCCATGCTTAATATTTATCAAACGAGTGTGCATTCACAGAAATTATCCAATGATGAACTTCTTAATTTGTAACCTTAGCGGCATCCGTAGTCTAGGGGTAGCGTTCCCACCTCATGACTCAAGGTACGCGGGTTCAAACACGGCGGAGGTCGTGGAATTTTTAAGGGGGGAAACATTCAGGGAACAAGTCCTCCGGGAGACTTTAAGCCGTGGGTCCCGTGTCGTAGTTTTACGGCACGTAAAAGAACCTCATGTCTCTAGGAGACCTCTGGGCAAAATTATTAGGTAAAAACTTTCCCGCCCAAGTAGTTTCCAATGCCTCAAGGTACCGAGGGCCGACCTCGTTGGCTCAACGGGGCTGATAGCACGCACCGTCTACCGGTAGGGTATAGGGACAGTAGAAATTAAAGGGGGACGCACAATGGACCAATAACTGGTCTAAGTGCATGGGAAAACCCATCCCCTCCATTAATAATAATAATAATAATAATAATTTGTAACCTTCATTTAATATTATTATTATGGCCTTCTTCGACGGGGGATCAGCCCGTCGCGAGGCCGCTACCTGCACACAGGAAAACGCAACCACAGAATAAAGGCACACCGAGTAGAATGAAGGATTATTTATGGGGAAGGGATGTGGAAGGAAGCGGCCGTGGTTTAATTTGAAATACTATCCCGTTATTTTCCTTGCGGAATTGATGAGGACTATAAGAAACTTCATTCATAGTAGTCCACAGGCCGCCGTAATTCGAACCGGGTACCTCCCATGTGCACAGAAGCAACATCGCTTGTGCCACACTTACTGTCACATCACAGTGACTGCAGATGTCATGAGGGCGCTATTTATGCACTCTGTTTCCAAACGTTTGTAATTTACGTTCTTTCCTCGGAGTAAGAGGAGCCGGGATAGCACAGTCGGTATAGCGACTGGCTACGGGCTGGACAACCGATGGGGTCGGAGTTCGAGTCCCGGTAGGGTCAAGAATTATCTTCTCCACGTCGTCCAGACAGTCTCTGGGGTCCATCCAACCTCCTATCCATTGGGTACTGGGGGCTCTTTCCACGAGAGTAAAGCGGTAGGGGCATGAAGCTGACAACTCACCTCCACTACCTGCCGAGGTGAAGAAAATGTGGATCTATACATCCACTCTCCCATATGTCTTCACGGAGTAGTGCTTAATTAGTTAAGCACAGGGACAACCTAACTTTACCTCAGAGTAAGAGACCACGTTTCATATCCATACAAAGTAGTTGGCAAACTTATTGTTTCGTATATCTTGAGCTTCAGACAGGAAACTGACGGTAGGGTAGAAGTTTTCGAACGGAATAATGATAATCACATTGAACACTCATTCATTATACGCTTATGGATTGTGACACCGTGTAGTCTTTTGTGCGGGAATCAACCCCCCGAATGAACTTTCTGCCTCCACTTACGAGCCCGAAATTAGTAAGATGGAGGCAGGTTACAAGCAAGATGTTCACTTAGGGCCAGGGGAGGGTGAGAGGATTTAGAAATCCGTCCGCACCAATCCGAAAGATGAAGATGAAAAGGGCCCTTTTTAGGGCCACGTAGAGGAATTCAAAGCCCATCACATTCGCCGAGCTGTCTAAGGCATGTATTGTCTTCGCCCGCTCAAACACTGTGATCGTGGGTTTGAATCCAACTTGAGACAGGGATGTCTGTGTACGTTTATTCTGTATGTGTGCTGTCCTATGTGCCCTGCAACGGGCTG